GCCGTTGATGTCCTCCGTGCGCGCGCCGGTGATGATTAAGTCATCCACATACACGTCGACGATGAGCTCCTCCTTCCCCCATCACCGCGTGTAGAGCGCGTGCTTGGTTGCACACCTTTGAAACCCAAGCTCGCCCAGCGTGGCGTCAAGCTTGGCGTTCTATGCTTGTGGGGCCTACCGTAGCCCGTAGAGCACCTTGCGCAGTCGGAGCACCCTGTGCTCCTCTCCCTTGACGGTGAAACCTAGAGGTTGCCTGACGAAGACCGTTTCTGCCAGCTCACCATTGAGGAAGGCCGATTTAACGTCTAGGTGATGGACACGCCAGTCCTTTGTTGCTGCCAAGGCTAGTAGCAAACGGACCGACTCCATGCGCGCTACTGGCGTAAAGACCTCCTCAAAGTCTATGCCCTCACACTGAACAAAGCCCCGGGCCATGAGGCGCGCCTTGTGCTTGATAACGGCGCCGTGCTCATCTCGCTTGACCTTGTACACCCACTTCAGGCTGATCAGACGGCATCCTGGAGGTGGATCGACGAGCTATCAAGTCTCGTTTTCCTCGACCGCCTTCATCTCCTCCAGCATCGCCCATCACCAGTTTCCATCGCGCTCGGCTAGCGCGAACGTGGGTGGTTCCTCTGCACTAACGAGCAGTAGCTCTGGGTCATTGAGCAGCCTACCCGCCAGACCTGAGGGTCCTGTGCCGCCGACGATGTTGTCCAGCCTACGGAACTGCACCTCCTCACCTTCGTGGTAGGCGTCCACGAACTCAGTGATGTCACTTGGAGGTGAGGCGAACTCGATCGGCGTCGATGGAGTTCCAGGTTCCGCCTGAGTGCTCAGCATAGCACCTTGAGTGCTTGGCACCCTGGTTGCAGTGCTCGGCACTACTTTTGGACAACTCATCATAACTCCTGTAGTGTTCGGCCATACTGTAGGAGTGTCCAGCCTCAGTCTTAGAGTGGTTGGTACCACTGTAAGACGTCTTGGCTCCACCACGGGAGTGTTCGGCACCAGTCCTAGAGTGGTCGCCACCACTGCAGAACCTTCTAGCACCACTCCTGGCATGCTCGGCATCCCTTCGGAAGTGCTCGGCTCTCCTCCCAGAGTGCTCGGCATCCCTCCCAAAGTGCTCGGCACTGCCTCAGGAGTGCTCGGCTCTACCGCCGGAGTGCTCGGCGCTCCTCTTGGAGTGCTCGACACCTCTTCCCCAGCGTCTCCACTCTTGTGGATGACCAAGTGCTCAACGACGAAGTTGCTGGTGAACCTGCCAGCTTCCCTCATGCTGGGACTGCTCTAGTCCCAAGCGGCCTTCTCGTCGAACACGACGTCGTGTGAGACAAGAACATTGTCTCCGCATGGGTCGTAGAGTCGGTACGCCTTGGTACCCTCCGTGTAGCCTAGGAACACTATCGATGTGCTCCTGTCCTCCAGTTTGGTGAGGTTCGGCTTCGTCTTCCTGACGTGGCCGATGCAGCCGAATGTCCAAAGGAAGGACACACTCGGCTTTCGCCCATACCAAGCCTCGAATGGCGTCTTGCCCGCCAGGGCCTTGGTGGGAGCGCGGTTGAGGATGAACACCGTCGTGGTCACCCCCTCTCCCTAGAACCTTGACGGCATTCCCTTGGCCTTCATCATGGATCGAGCCATGCCGACCACCGTCTGGTTTCATCACTCCACCACGCCATTCTGCTGTGGTCAATACGATGCGGTGTGATGTCGCACCACACCCTGATCCACGCAGTACATAGCGAACTCCACCGAAGTGAATTCGCCACCCCGATCAGTCCTTAGCACGCGGAGCTTCTTGCCGCTCTTGGCCTCCGCACGTGTCTTGTACTTCTTGATCATCGCCGTCGCTTCGTCCTTGCTCGTCAGGAGTTGCAGCCACATGTAGCGACTGCAATCATCCATGAGCAGGAAGAAGTACCACCGACCACTACCAGTGGCTGGCGTGATTGGCCTACAGAGATCGCCATGGACGAGCTCGAGAGCGTCCTTTGTGTGATACTTGGCCGCCTTTGGGAACGGCAACCTTCTCTGCTTCCCGGCCAGGTAGCTGTCACATAGCTCGCCTCCGTGCGCTATGTGGGGTAGCCCTCGAACCATCTTCTCTAGCCGACCAAGCGCGTCGAAGTTGAGATGTCCGAACCGAGCATGCCACAGCCACGGCTCCTCGGTATGCCTTCAGGTTGAGCAGGTACAACCGGTTCTGGGACCTCTTCACCTTGGCTAGAAGTCTCTGCTCCCGGTCTCTGATCCTAAGGACACCGTCCTTGATCAGTACCTCGCTACCATGCTCATCCAATTGGCCAATGCTGATGATGCTCGAGCGCAGCTGCAGAATGTAATATACATCCGTTAGCGTGCGGTGCTCCCCGTTCTGGCACCTGAAGATGATGGTGCCACGTCCTTGGATTGCCACCCTTGACCCATCACCAAACTTCATACCGGTAACATCATCATCGAGCTCGGAGAAGGCTTTCTTGGAGCCCGTCATGTGGTTGCTGGCACCGGAGTCCAGATACCACCGCTGCTCCTGGTCGGCGCCCACACGTACGAGGTGGATTTGGGTGCGTGGTTCGTCGAGGTTGATGGTCTTCAGGGCCTTCCTAGGTCCTTCCACCGCCATCACTTCCACCTTCTCCTTGGCCTCGACGTCGTGTAGTGCATAGAACGTCGTCATCATGATAGTGGTCTCATCCTTATCATCGGCTTGCGCCAAGTGAGCCTCAGCCTTCTTCTCCTGCTTGCGATTTGGGCACTCTCGTGCCCAATGGCCCATCTTCCCGCAACGCCGACATGCGTTGGGGTCGACCTGCTTCTTCTCTAAAGAAGCCTTGCCACGGCGCTTGCCATTGCCACAGCGGCTGGAGGAGGCTGCCTTCCCATAGTTCCTCCGAGCAGCCCACTCCTCTTCCGTCAACAGGAGTTTTCCGCTATCCTTCATTGCTGTCGCCTGCTCCAGGCGCTCGTCCACCGCCCGTAGATGGCCTGTCACATCCTCAATGGTGAGGGTGGACAAGTCCAGCATCGTCTCTATGGAGAGAGCGATCTAGATATACTTTGCTGGCACGGAGTGGAGGTACTTAGAGATCGCCTCCTCTTCGTCGATGGTGACGCCGTGGCTCTTCAGCTTGCTGATGAGTGTCTATAGGCGGAAGGAGAAGTCCTCCACCATTTCACCATCCTTGAACTTGAGGTTGGCGTACTCCTGCTTCAGAAGCTGGGCCGTTGCCTTCTTTGCTCGGTCGGAACCGACGCGCATTGCCGCAATAGCCTCCCATGCCTCCTTAGCCGAGCTCTTCGTCCCCAACGGCTCCCTGTACTCTGCCTGTACAGCAACGAGGATAGGCCCCAACGCTGACATGTCATCTTCTTCACAGTCGGTGCCCTTGTCAACAGCATTCCAGAGCCGTTGGGCTCTGAGCTTGACCTTCATGGTCACCGACCACTCTTCATAGTTGGTGCGAGTCAGCGTCGGCTAACTGGTGCTGCTGACCTCTTGCACCATGCGAACAACGACCTCCGGTCGTGGCTGGGCAGCCACAACAGTGCCACTGCTGTCGTCCATCTCCGAATCGCCCATCATTGCTAGCGGTTAGTATGTCGACGGCGCTTGTACGGCTCCGATACCACTTGTTGGCCCATAGGATCATCGTCTCAGGTGAGTTAACCACTCACCAGTCTTGTCGAGCACCCACTAGCCGTGCCGACCATGAACAAGTGTTGTCCGTCCCACACACTATGGCTAGAGCTAGAAGAAGAAGGGAGAACAGAGCATACACACACAATACAAGACACCAACGTTGGCCGAAGCCCTGTGTCTGAGATGGCAAACTTTACTGAGTTGCCGTGGTATCCTATTTATACAACTCTGTCCTTCTAGTCATAGTACAGCTGCCATGCTACTATAGGAACTAGATAACATACTGGGCTGACTCTGCGCCGGTCACTGCATGTGCCTATAGTGCTACAGGTGAGCCGTGCGGCGCCTGCACCTGCAGCGGCTACAGTAACACAGCAGAGGGCCTTTCGGCGACGCCTTCCCTTATTGTGTTCACACAAGGTAGCAGTAGATTATCTAACAGATCCGCTGCTAGAACAAATAAGAGAGGGGAGAGTGGATCTCCCTGCCTAACACCTCTTTTGCAATAATGTATAGTTTTACCGGGCACACCATTGAGCAAAACTCAGGAGGTGGCGGAGGCAAAAATTTCTTTGACCCATCCAATCCAATGATCACCAAAACCTAGGATGGGTGACCTCCGAGCATTGCCACCGGGTAATAATCCTGTCCTTTTCCAACGCTATCGTTACCCTAGGAGCAATCACATAGAAGCACGGCTAATAATTTAGCCTATTACTGACTACTCCTATATGACACTACCGCTATGTGAAATACAACTCCCGCAAAGGAAAATGTCGGGCAGCTGACCTAAGCTGGGCTTGACCGTGTATAGTCTTTTCAGTTGTGAGGCAATAATCGAGAGCTGGAGACGTTCCTGGAAAGAAGAAAAATGTGGGGCAGCTGCCTGCCGGAAACATCGTCCACGCACTCCCCGAGTCCCGACTCCCGACCGCACTAGCGAAGTGCGTCCTGCTTTTGAAACAAACGAAGTGCGTCCTCCTTGCTCTTGTGTGTTATAGTGGGGGATGACCAGGCATGGTGCATAGGCGTGCGTGGAAAATTAATGCATGCCTGTCGATCGGATACTGACTGATCAGGTCACTGTATACACTTTAATCTGGCAGCCGCGCACATTATATATAGTACGTAGCCGTCACGGGATGGATTATATTCACCACGATATATATAAGTATTATAAGTAGTCTAGTAGGAATTACCATCACGCAAGCACCCAAAACCACTCACTGGTCACTACACATACCCATCGTCATCGATCGGCCAACAAGCACTCCTGACCTGAGCAAGTTAAGCATCCGGCGTAGCAATGCGCTCACTGATCTTGCAGCTGCTATACCTATACGCCTCCGCGTCCATGTCGATTCTCGTGGCCGTGGCCGCACAAGCGGCCGGCGACGGGGCCGCACTGCTGGCGTTCAAGGCCGCGGCGATCGGCGGCGGCCACCACAACCACAACCGGCTGCTTCCTTTCGTGGAAGTGGAACAGCACCAGCGCTGGCGGCTTCTGCAGCTGGGAGGGGGTCAGGTGCGGGGCTAGGCATCGCCGGGTGGTGGCGCTCACCCTACCCTCCTATGGCCTCACGGGCACCCTGTCCCCGGCCATTGGGAACCTCACCTTCCTAAGAACTCTGAACCTAACCTCCAATGCGTTTCAGGGGAATATCCCTGCAAGCATCGGCCGCCTGCTACATCTCCAGGCGCTTGACCTGAGCTACAACACCTTCACCGGAGAACTGCCTGCAAACCTAAGCTTCTGTGCTACTCCCTCCATCCCAAATTGTAAGTCATTCCAAGAATCTTGGAGAGTCAAACTTTTTCAAGTTTGATTAAAATTATAGAGAGAAACACAAAGATTGATGACATCAAATAGGTATAATATGAAAATATAACTAATGAAGAATCTAATGATACTTACTTGGTATGATAAATATTATTATTTTGTTATATAAATTTGGTCAAACTTGAAAAATTTTGACTCTCCAAGATTCTTAGAATGACTTACAATTTGGGATGGAGGGAGTAGTAGCTTACTGCTCTTGAACCTCCGCCACAACCAGCTCCATGGCCGTATTCCTGTTCAGCTCGGTCAGAAGCTCACAAACCTTCGTAAGCTCTCACTGAGAACGAACAGCTTCACGGGCGATATCCCAGTATCACTAGACAACATGTCGCTTCTAAACTATCTTGATCTAGGTACAAACCAGCTCGAGGGACCCATACCACCTCAACTTGGCAGCATGGGAGACCTACGCTTCCTTTATCTCTTCGAGAACAACCTCTCAGGTCAGCTTCCATCCTCTCTCTACAATCTGTCCATGCTGCAAGCTCTCGTCGTAGCTAACAACTCCTTGTCTGGAACCATTCCTAGTAATATTGGCGATAGGTTGCATAACATTGAAAATCTGAACTTTGCTGTCAACCAGTTTCATGGAACCATCCCGCCTTCACTCTCCAACCTCTCTGCTATTACAAACCTTCAGCTTTCGACAAATAGTTTTGTTGGGCACGTTCCATCTGCCTTTGGGAGACTGAAAGGTCTCGTTATTCTGTACTTGGAAGGGAACAAGCTGGAAGCAAATGACACGGAGGGGTGGGAATTCATCACTCAGCTAGCAAACTGCAGCCAGCTTCAGCAACTGACTCTTCTCAATAACTCCTTCACTGGAAAACTTCCTAGCTCAATCACAAACCTGTCGACAACCCTCCAGTATCTTGATTTAAGCGACAACAGGATTTCTGGGTTTATTCCATCCAGTATCGGTTATTTGGTTGGTCTGCAAGTTCTTGTTATGGCCAATACTTCTATATCCGGAGTGATTCCAGAGAGTATTGGTCACCTACAAAACTTGGCCGTGTTAGGACTTTACAACACTAACTTGTCAGGCCTAGTACCTTTGTCAATAGGAAATCTTACGCAGTTAAACATACTTCTTGTATATAATGTAAGCTTGGAGGGGCCAATTCCAGCAACCTTAGGGAACTTAAAGAATGTCTATAGCCTTGATCTGTCAAACAATAGACTCAATGGTTCAATCCCCAGAGAGGCCTTAAAGCTTCCTGCACTTTCCGATTACCTAGATTTATCATACAATTTGTTGTCTTCCTACTGAAGTTGGTAGCTTGGCAAACCTTAACAACTTGTATCTGTCAGGAAACCAGTTATCTGGCGGCATACCAGATAGCTAGTATTGGGAAATGCATATCGTTGGAACAGCTTAAACTGGGCCAGAACTCGTTTGTGGGAAGCATACCTCAATCTCTAGAAAATTTGAAGGGTCTTGCTCTACTGAACCTAACAATGAATAAGCTATCTGGAACCATTCCTGATGCCCTTAGTAGTATTCGTGGCCTGAAAGAGTTGTATCTAGCTCACAACAACCTGTCTGGTTTGATACCCTCAGGTTTACAGAATTTAACATTCTTGTATGAATTGGATCTGTCTTTCAATGATCTGCAAGGTGAAGTGCCAAAAGGGGGTGTTTTTGCAAATGAAACGTACTTTTCAATTTATGGCAATGGAGAGCTTTGTGGCGGAATACCTCAACTGCATTTAGCTTCATGCTCCATGTCTACTAGAGAAATGAAAAACAGGCATTTGTCCAAATCCCTTATCATCTCCCTAGCATCAATCAGTGCACTTGTATGCTCGGTTTTAGTGGTGATTCTTATTCAGTTGATGCACAAGAAGCTCAGAAAAAGGCATGAAAGTCAATTCATATCCACAATTGAGGAACCGCATGAAAGAGTTTCTTACCATGCATATCGAATGGGACCAGTGGTTTTTCAGAGGCCAATTTGCTTGGACAAGGAAGCCATGGCATGGTTTATAAATGTACTTTACATGATGATCAGGGAACTATAGTAGCTGTAAAGGTGTTTAACACACATCAACGTTCGGCTTCTAGAAGTTTTGTGGCTGAATGTGAGGCGCTGAGTAGTGTTCGTCATCGTTGTCTTATAAAGATCATCACTTGTTGCTCAAGCATCAACCCCCAAGGTCAAGATTTTAAGGCACTCGTTTTTGAGTTCATGCCAAATGGTAGCCTAAATGGTTGGCTCCACCCAGAGTCTAACACACGAACACTTGCTCAGACAAATACTCTTAGCCTTGAACAAAGGCTAAATATTGCCGTCGATATCATGGATGCTTTGGACTATCTACATAATCACTGTCAGCCACCAATCATTCATTGCGATCTTAAGCCAAGCAACATCCTTCTTACAGAAGACATGAGTGCCCGAGTTGGAGACTTAGAATCCTCCCAGAATGTGCTAGTACAACACTGCAAAATTCAACAAGCACAACTGGAATAAAAGGCACCATTGGTTATGTTGCACCAGGTAACTGAAATTTTGAAATAGTTACTTTTGTTACTTGTACATTTTTCCTAGTTCTTTTATTTATGAACACGGGACATTGACTTTTTTCTTGTTGCAATCATAGAGTATGGTGAAGGTTCTTCTGTCTCAACCCAAGGTGATGTTTATAGCCTCGGCATATTGCTGCTCGAGATGTTTACTGGAAGGAGCCCAACAGATGAGATATTCAGCGACTCGTTGGATTTGCACAAGTTTTCAGAGAACGCTCTTCCAGAGAGAATATGGGAGATTACTGATCCGACGATACAGGCGCACAGAGATACCTATAACATCACTACAAGAAGTAAAATTCTGAATTGTCTGGTTTCTGTTGTTACTCTAGGAATATCCTGTTCTAAGAAACAACCTAGAGAGCGAATCCCGATACAGGACGCAGCCATTGAGATGCATAATATTAGGGATTCGTATATCAAGTTTACCAGATCTCATTTGGTAGAGAATGGAGTAGTAACGACTCAGTAATTTTTCAAAACAGTGAACATGGGCTCACTGAAAATGGTCAACATGCCTATAGGTGATCACTTACCTGAATAGCTTAATGTACATGATGCTTGAGCTCTATAATTCTTCCTTACATATATTTGCCTTAGATATATCTATTATATATTCTATTTGTTGGATCTTTCTTTGTTGAGGTATTGTAAGAATTAATGGCTATTACCTTATTTTCTTTTGGACGGGTCGGGTACTCCGGTGTCACATCTACATTTCCACTTGCAATGATAATGTTTTATATATATCAATACCTACCTAATACTAAAGAGCCAAAATTTTATCCCATTTTTTGCGCCCACCTTTCCTAACTACCGAATAATGAAGAGTTTCTTGTGTCTCATATGTATCCAGATTCATATGACACGTGCTCATATGGGTACGAGTTAGAAAATTGCGTCTAGCAATGATAGATATAAAATCGGATTCCAAGATCTACTTGGCTGCGTCCTCCGTATTTTGTATGTGACTTGAACCAATGAGCAGTGCTGATATGAGTTAGAACAACTTCCGCCTAGCATACGCAGTCCAATTCCAATATATATTCGGTCATCCTAGCGCCCGGACGTTTGGATGGACGCAGACGCCAAAGCCTACTTCGCTTGCCCGTGCCTGCCTGCACACATGCGCCTGCTTCACATGGGGGCCCATGCCGCTTCGTTTCCCGCGCCTGCGTTTGCGCCCACTCTGTTTCCCTGGCCTGTCGCTCGCGCAACCTCCGCTCCCACGCGCATGCACATAGGCCCAACAGCTACATCAGGCTGCTGCTGCAGATGGGTCCCATTGCAACATGTGCAACACCATATCTACTTTTGCAACATCTAGATAAAACACTTGCAACATAATCTGAAACAGTTGAAACACTTGCAACATACATCTGAAACACCTGGAAAACACGTGTGTAGCTATTGCAAAACATATAGAACATCCAGATTGAACATTTGTAACATACATATGAAACACATAAAACACTTGAAACATACGCTTTAAACATGCATGTATATGCAACATCCAGATGAAACACTTGCAACGTACGTCTGAAAACAGATGAAACACTTGATACATACGCTTTCAACGCAATGTCACCTTGCTACTGGGACGAATGGAGGCTCGTCGTTGCAGAGCTCGACGCTGGCGCGGAGGTCGGCAATGGCGCACGGAGCTCGCGACGTCTCGGAGCTCGTCGGAGCGACAGTGGCGCGAGCAACTCGCCGGTTGGGCGTGGTCACACAAAGCTCCTCCCCTCGTCTACTTGCTGGAGCATCCATCGTGGAGGCTCACCGTCTCAGTGGTGCATGCATGGAGCTCGACGGTGCGCCATGGAGGCAATGCATGAAGGCGAGTGGGTGCAGCGGCGAGGGAAGAAAGAGTACATGCACGGGCAGCCAAGGACATGAGGCAGGAAAAGCCGGCAGTGAGGAAGTAAGGTGGAGAATGTTGGGCGGTTCATAGATTGTATGGGTTGTGGTCTAGTTAAAACGTGTTCGACAAAAATGAAACAGCCCGGACGCCCCTGTAGGAGCATTTCTGATATATATTGGGTGGCCTTACAACACGAACATGCTTACAATTCTATCCCAAATATTAAAGCACGAAAAGTTTCTTAATTTTCATCCTTTTCTATTATTTTTTAATTTTTCTCATGTTTTTTGGTTCCGTCTACCGAGCACAAACTCATGTCCGGGGAGTCCGTTCCCAAGTACTATGGTTTTTTTATGTTTTTCAGTTTTTTTTCATTTTCCTTAGCTTTTTGGTTTAATTTTTTCCATGCCTTTTTTTTGTGTTTTTCTCTTTTCACTTCACGTTCTAGTGTTTTTTCGTTCGTGTTTTCCTGTTCATTTTAATTGTTTTGCATGTCTTTTCTTTAAACCGTACATTGTCATGTTGATCCGAGCATTTTGTGAGCCAGGTCAGGCTCGGGCCGAGTCAAAAAAAAGCCCAGCTATTTATGCCAAAATATCCTACTCATGACCATCCCACGGACGAGCCGGGTCTGTTTTTTTCAGGCAAGGCTTGGGCTAGGCCTAGGCCCGATGGACCGTTCGCACGGTTTATATATACTGTAGAACAGCTAAAATAAATATTTCGTGCTAGGCTCGAACCGAGAATTCCTTTTCTAGGCATCGAGATCTGAGTCTAGGCCTTCTCTACTAATGCTCATGAGTGAGCTAAATCCCATTAGGCTCGTGGGCTAGGCTCAATTTGCTCGAAGTCTATTTATCTCCCTCAACTATCCTCAAAGTCTAGTTTTCCTCTCTGAACTTTAAAACCGGGTAAACCACCTCATTTAACTTTTGAAACCGTTCATTTTACCTTCCTGACCCGGTTATAGGTGGTTTTGTCTTTTAGTTTAAAAATAAATCCAGTAAATAATGAGGCTTTTGAACCACGAAAAATATCTCTAAGCTTATAAAAATTTAGAGAAAAAAATACTAAATATGGATTAGGACACGAGAAACCCAAATAATATATTTATATCTTGTGAAAATATCTCTAGAATCTTTTAAAATTTTGATTTAGCTCTAGGAAAATTGGAAAATATCCAAAAGAATCTGGAAAACTACCAAGATATTCCAATTGATATCTAATTGCATCTTAAATGTTTTTCACAATAAAAACTTGAGATGAAGCCGGCATGAATGCATTCAACATTAATATATGTTGTGTTGGTTGCATATCACATTTAGATTGTGGAAAGTTCCTAAAATGTGTTTAGACATGAAATAGAACATTTTGGTAGTTTTCCAGATTTTTTTGCATATTTTCACATTTTCCTAGAGCTAAAACAAAATTTTAAAAATATTATAGAGATATTTTCACAAGATATAAATATATTATTTGGGTTTCTTGTGTTCTAATCCATCTTTAGTATTTTTCTTAGAATTTTTAGAAGCTTAGAGATATTTTTCGTGGTTTAAAAACCTCATTAGGTGTTTACTAGATTTATTTTTAAACTAAAAAGATAAAAACCGCCTTTGAAAATCACCTATAACCGGGTCAGGGAGATAAAATGAATGGTTTCAAAAGTTGAGGGAGGTGGTTTACCCGGTTTTAGAGTTCAGAGAGGAAAACTAGACTTCTAGATAATTCAGGGAGGTAAAATGGACTTTTTCCTTTTAGAGGTTGATAATACTAATGTTGCTGAAAGACGGAGTTCAGACTTAAATTTAGAGGTTGAGAGCTTGATCGAGGACTCTAATTTATCTCAGTTAGTTCCAAAATAAAGATTCTCTTCTGGAATATTCGTGGGCTTGGTAATGCTGGTAGAAGGAAGTTACTAGTTGAGTCAGTGTCCAAGTATGCTTTTGACTGTACCTGTTTACAAGAAACTATCAAGACTTCGTTCAGACAAAGAGAGTTAGATCGTTTTGCCGGACAGAAAGATATGTACTGGTTTTGGGTTCCCTGTGTTGGTCATTCTGGGGGATGCTAATGGGGGTTGACAAAGGAATGGCAACAGTTACTGCTGACAGTTTTAAATGGAGTCTGATAATGTCTATGGTTGATGACAGTTTTAAATGGAGTCTGATAAACATTTATGGGCCAGCACATGATGATAGAAAAGTGAGAATTTTTAGAGGAGCTGGTAACCAAAGTCCAAGGGATAGATGTGCCACTAATAATGGGAGGAGATTTTAATTTAGTCAGGAAAGTTGAGGAGAAATCACCTGGGAATGTTAATACCAATCTGATGGATGCATTCAATGAAATGATCAATACTACAGCCTTGAGAGAACTACACAGGACAGGAAGCAGAGATACATGGTCAAATAAGCAAACTCCTCCAATATTATGTGTGCTGGACAGGGTGCTAGTTTCTAACTCTTCGGAGGACAAGTTTAACCTTGCTTCTGTACTTACTGCCCCAAGACTAGGCTCAGATCATAATCCCTTGATTGTGGATACTAGAGAAGGGTTAAGTCTTAAACAACATTGTGGAGAAATCATCAAGTTGGTTTCCAAGACTGGGTTAAGAGTAAATGGCCTGAG